ATGGACAATAAAATGCATGTGTGTAGACAAATCTATCCTCTAAGTTGCTGGTGGACATTAGAGTGACGAGTATATTAACCAATAAGAATTTTCTCTTTTTGTCGAATTGCTATAGTGTTGCCCATCACTGTTCAAGATTAATTCATATCGTGTTATGAAATCTTTAAAACTTTTTGACTTTTTGGAAATTAGCTGCCAATCATTAACTTTAATTAAACTTCTTTTAATTATCTTTAACATTTCCCACCCGCTGTTTAATAAGGAAATCTACAAATATCAATTTCACCCGATTCAGTTACATTAATAAAAGCCATAAATATTGTTAAAAAAATCCGTTAATATTAAATAAATACAGGTTCAAAATAAATATTTTATTTATTTTGTGATATTTTCCTTTGTGTGTGTGTATTTTTTATAAATATAATTTTTAATAATTATAAATACATATGATTGTTATTGCAATTATTCATTAACATATGTAAATAAAAAGACATAATACAGACATTATAGATTTAAAAAAGATACACATACAGACGGATAAAGATAAATACCTACAGTATTGATCGAAACAGATGTAATTCTTAATACGATTTCCCACTTTTCCCACATTAAACAAAATTAACTTCACCGATTCATAACCTCGCGTGATAACATTAGTTCCTTTTGAACTGAAGATATCGTTCTATTATGTACTATGCCTGCCATTCGAATTTTAAGTTGAGAAAGTCTTCCTTCTTCAATTCTCGTTTCTGCTGCACAATTCAAAGTTTTTTATCTTTACGTAAATCATTTTTATGTAAGTTTAGAGACATGTTTTGTATCATAATCATTTTTTAAACCTTCTCAAAGTGTATGTTTTCAACTCACCTTTAATAATTCCTCATCATCAAATGTTGCTTATGTTTCGAACAATGCAGTACATTCCAATAAATACTTATATAAGTACTTATGTATACGTATTATACGTTCATTCTTTTTCATATAAATTCATTAATATAAATATTAATTTTGTAAATATATAATTTTTTAACATAAACATTAGGGTTTTCTTATATTAAATCTTGTGTTTGGGAATTTCCATTTTGTGTTGTTGCAATAAAGAAAATAATAGGTCAGTGAAAATTTCAGACAAATTGGATCGTTATTGTAGTATAGACTATAATCTTTTGTCTCGTCAATAAGCTAGTCGGAAAGATATACACACTAATAGATTAGAACATAGACGATACGCTAAACTATACGCTAGACTATAGACTAGACTAGACTATAGACTAGACTATAGACTAGACTATAGACTAGACTATAGACTAGACTATAGACTAGACTATAGACTAGACTATAGACTAGACTATAGACTAGACTAGACTATAGACTAGACTATAGACTAGACTATAGACTAGACTATAGACTAGACTATAGACTAGACTATAGACTAGACTATAGACTAGGACTATAGACTATACTATAGACTAGACTATAGACTAGACTATAGACTAACTATAGACTAGACTATAGACTAGACTATAGACTAGACTATAGACTAGACTATAGACTAGACTATGACTAGACTATAGACTAGACTAGACTACTATAGACTAGACTATAGACTAGACTATAGACTAGACTATAGACCTAGACTATAGACTAGACTGATAGGACTAGACTATAGACTAGACTATGGACTAGACTATAGACTAGACTATAGTACTAGACTATAGACTAGAATATAGACTAGACTATAGACTAGACTAGACTAACTATAGACTAGACTATAGACTAGACTATAGACTAGACTATAGACTAGACTATAGACTAGACTATAGACTAGACTATAGACTAGACTATAGACTAGACTATAGACTAGACTATAGACTAGACTATAGACTAGACTATAGACTAGACTATAGACTAGACTATAGACTAGACTATAGACTAGACTATAGACTAGACTATAGACTAGACTATAGACTAGACTATAGACTAGACTATAGACTAGACTATAGACTAGACTATAGACTAGACTATAGACTAGACTATAGACTAGACTATAGACTAGACTATAGACTAGACTATAGACTAGACTATAGACTAGACTATAGACTAGACTATAGACTAGACTATAGACTAGACTATAGACTAGACTATAGACTAGACTATAGACTAGACTATAGACTAGACTATAGACTAGACTATAGACTAGACTATAGACTAGACTATAGACTAGACTATAGACTAGACTATAGACTAGACTATAGACTAGACTATAGACTAGACTATAGACTAGTCTATAGACTAGACTATAGTCTAGACTATAGACTAGTCTATAGACTAGACTATAGACTAGTCTATAGACTAGTCTATAGACTAGACTATAGACTAGTCTATAGACTAGACAATAGACTAGTCTATAGACTAGACTATAGACTAGACTATAGACTAGACTATAGACTAGACTATAGAATAGACTATAGACTAGACTATAGACTAGACTATAGACTAGACTATAGACTAGACTATAGACTAGACTATAGACTAGACTATAGACTAGACTATAGACTAGACTATAGACTAGACTATAGACTAGACTATAGACTAGACTATAGACTAGACTATAGACTAGACTATAGACTAGTCTATAGACTAGACTATAGACTAGTCTATAGTCTAGTCTATAGTCTAGTCTATAGTCTAGTCTATAGTCTAGTCTATAGTCTATTCTATACTCTAGTCTATAGTAAAGTCTATTATCTAGTCTATAGTGGACTATAGACTAGACTATAGACTAGACTATATACTAGACTATAGACTAGACTATAGACTAGACTATAGACTAGACTATAGACTAGACTATAGACTAGACTATAGACTAGACTATAGACTAGACTATAGACTAGACTATAGACTAGACTATAGACTAGACTATAGACTAGACTATAGACTAGACTATAGACTAGACTATAGACTAGACTATAGACTAGACTATAGACTAGACTATAGACTAGACTATAGACTAGACTATAGACTAGACTATAGACTAGACTATAGACTAGACTATAGTCTAGACTATAGACTAGACTATAGACTAAACTATAGACTAGACTATATACTAGGCTATATATATAGACTAGACTATAGACTAGACTATAGATTAGACTATAGACTAGACTATAGACTAGATTATAGACTAGACTATAGACTAGACTGTAGACTAGACTTTAGATTAGACTATAGACTAGACTATAGATTAGACTATAGACTATACTATAGACTAGACTATAGACTAGACTATAGACTAGACTATAGACTAGACTATAGACTAGACTATAGACTAGACTATAGACTAGACTATAGACTAGACTATAGACTAGACTATAGACTAGACTATAGACTAGACTATAGACTAGACTATAGACTAGACTATAGACTAGACTATAGACTAGGCTATATATATAGACTAGACTATAGACTAGACTATAGACTAGACTATAGACTAGACTATAGACTAGACTATAGATTAGACTATAGACTAGACTATAGACTAGGCTATAGATTAGACTATAGACTAGACTATAGACTATAGATTAGACTATAGACTATACTATAGACTAGACTATAGACTAGACTATAGACTAGACTATAGACTAGACTATAGACTAGACTATAGACTAGACTATAGGCTAGACTATAGACTAGACTATAGACTAAACTATAGACTAGACTATATACTAGGCTATATATATATAGACTAGACTATAGACTAGACTATAGACTAGACTATAGACTAGACTATAGACTAGACTATAGACTAGACTATAGACTAGATTATAGACTAGACTATAGACTAGACTATAGACTAGACTATAGATTAGACTATAGACTAGACTATAGACTATAGATTAGACTATAGACTATACTATAGACTAGACTATAGACTAGACTATAGACTAAACTATAGACTAGACTAGACTAGACTAGACTATAGACTAGACTATAGACTAGACTATAGACTAAACTATAGACTAAACTATAGACTAAAGTATAGACTAGACTATATACTAAACTATAGACTAGACTATAGTTCTTGTTAAAGGCTCGCCTATAGCATCGATATTGGTTAGACCTTAGTCCAAAATATATACCAGACCATAGTCAAGATTACATTCTAGATTATAGTATAGATTATAGACTAAAGAGTAGCCTACAGCTCCGATACAGACTAGCCTATTGTCCAGACTATAGACTAGACGATATTGTCGACTATAGACTGGACCAGTGTCCAAAGTATAGACTGGACTATAGTACAAATTACAGACTTGATTATAGTCTAGGCTATGGACTAGATAGAATAGAATATAGTCCTGACTGTAGACTACACTATAGTCACTTCTGTAGACTAGAATATACTCCCGCCTATAGATTAGTCCAGACTATAGAGTAGAGTGTTGTCCATACTATACACTAGACTATAGTGACTATGGTCTATACAATAGTCCTGACTATAGGCTTGACAATAGTCCGGGCTATAGGCTTGACAATAGTCCGGGCTATAATTCCGACTATGGACTAGACTGTATTCAGACTTTGGACTAGACTGTATTTAGACTATAGCCTGGATTATAGTCTAGTCTATAGTTTGGGCTAAACAATAGTACACACTAAGGGCTAGACTATAATACTATACTGTCTACCGTCTGGGCTGCAGTCTAGTCTATAGTCTGGACTACAATATAGTCTATAGTGTGGACTATATTCTAGTCTGAGTGAGGACTATAGGCTAGCCTATAAGGTGGACTATTGTCCACCCTATAGTGTGTACTATAGTATAGTCTAGCCTGTAGTGTGAACTATAGTCTAGCCTATAGCAAGGAATCATTTCATTTAATAATTTCCTTGAAAACCTCCCCCTAATAATATTTTTAAAAAATTTCTGTCTATATGTGTATGCACTTTTATACATTCAATGTTTATTATTAATATTATCTGTTATGTTTACTCAACAGGATCCAGATGCATCATTTGACATTAACGGCAATGATTCCGATCCAACGCCACAGGATAATGGCGATAACAAGCATGGTACCAGATGTGCTGGTGAAGTTGCTGCCGTTGCCTTCAATAATTATTGTGGTGTAGGTGTAGCATATAATGCTAGTATTGGTGGTAAGTACATACTATTATTATCATTATTATAATTATTTTTATTACAATAAATATGCAACAAACTGAAAAAAAAAATATGAAATTTTTATGTAAGCATATGTTTAAATGAGCATGAAAAAATGTATGTAGTAAAAATCATTAAAATTAATTAATTTTAAGATTAAAATGTTTGTGCAAGATTAAAAATTATGTAGAGGTGGGTTATGGTAATAAGGTTACAGCGTAAAGTTAAGTTGTGTTTTTTTTTAATAAAATGTACGTACATATTGTAATGTCTATAGGACAAAGTAGATAATTTTACGTTTAAAGATTTTAGTAAAATTTCTATAACATATCAAATTATTAACTGAGTTATACTCCCCAAAATTTTCAAAATGAGAGGTTTTGTGCATATAAAATCATGTTTATGCTTGCTTAAGCATGCACATTAATACATAAAATAATTTAAACAAATATCAATAACACGTTCACTGCATATATAAGTATTTATAAATACATAGACAAACATTTATGCAACACTCACACTATTTAATGAAACCAAACCAATACCCGTTCAAAAGCAAAAGAGTAAATCTCCATGGAAATAGTGGTACCAACCGATAACAAACAATAACACCCACTTCACTACTTACCCGCTCCCTTTATACTCTTTTTCCATATCACTCTTGAATTAAGCCCACAAATAAGAATTTATGTGCCCTCACCACAGTTGTTGCTGCAACAACAATTCGTTCAGCAAAAAATTTCAAATTTCATTAAATATTGTGTTTTTTTTTTAGCACCATAACCATAGAACGGTTGATAATGAAAAGAAAAAGAGTGGAAAAATTCTGAATCCCAAAATCAAACAATAGCAGCAACTTTATTTTTATAAGCATCATGCAAACAGCTAGCAAAAGCAATGACAATATCGCGCGTTACTCTATGGTAACATCGTTATGTCTCAAATGTACAAGTATGGAAGTGGTGTAGTGCTTATATAAAGCAAGTGTCTGCAGTTTGTAGACACTAGAGATAAATATAGGAAAAAATAACATTAAAATGGTGGGATTTTAGGGAGCATATAGCATATTTTTGCTTAAAAATTCGTAATACTAAAAATCAATACAGATGGAGTTTGCTGGCTACAAAAAGATGAGATATAAACAGTTTCGGAGTCTCGAAGAGATAACCGACACTATTGACTTTTTGACTATAGTATAGTCGATACTATAAGCCTTTCTATAGTCGGTATTATAGACTACACAGTGAAAAAACCTGGTAGAAAAGTTGCAATATTGTGCATATATTTTGATTAACACCTAATTATGTTTTTGACAACCATTGTTATCATTTTAACCACTAATAGTTGTAATTTTTACAAACAATTGTTGTTTTTGTGACAACGCTTAGTTGTCATTATGACAACTAAGCGTTTGTTGTTATTATTACAATGCGTAGTGGTTTTTGTGACACATTGTTGTAATTTCTCGACGATATAGACAGAACCTGATTATAGTCGAGACAATAAACTGAACTGCAGTCGATACTATAGACTGAACTATAGTTGATATTGGTATATACTAACCAAAATATAGATTGGTCGACAATCGACAATACACTGGAGACAATAGACTGGACTATGGTCCAGAAATATCTAAACTATAGTTCAGAATATAGACTAATATATAGACTTTAAACAAGTCAAGATATAAACTGGACTAGGCTAGATTATACTAGAGATTATAGACTGAAATATAATCGAGAGTAAAGTCGAGTCTATAGTCTAAATAGTCTTGATTAGGTTACGGTCCGGAATATAGACTAGACTATAGTCCAGACTAAAGATTAGCCTATAGCCCTGATGTAGACTAGCCAATAGTACGGCCTCGACGAGTTTCCAGACAATAGAAATATAATCCAGATTAAAGTCTATAAACTCCACTGTAATCAAAACTAGTCGTAGAGACAAGATAATGTATTGAACTATAGTTAAAGCCGTATACTGGGCTATAGTAAAGACTATAGTCGAGACCTTAAACTAGACTTTTGTCGGGACTATTGCGAGGTCTATAAACCACATAATGAACTTTAAATAAGACAAGAGTGCGGACTGGATTATAGTCGTAACTACAGATAGGACTTTAATAGATAAGACTATAGACCGAAGAGTCGAGATTAAAATCTGGACTATAGCCTAAACTCTACATAAGACTATTGCGAATTATAGTTGAGACTATATACTATAGACTAAACTATAGCTGAGACTCATATAGTGACCTATTACTTAGACTTAAGTGTAATGACTGACTGTCGTCTATAACATAAAGCTGTGGACAGAACTCTAGTGTAAATTAAAGACTGAACTGTAGACTTAGGATTAAACAAATATTAATACTTCAGAATAAATTTCTAAAATTTCTTTAAATTTCAGATATAAATAAGTACAGCAATAACTCCCATTAGATTAAAACCAAAATTTTGTATGCATTTCTAAGAATTACCACAAACTTGAAACACACAAAAACACATACAGAAAAAGTACTTGGTCGTGCAAATATCCCCATAAATATACAACTATAATTCCAGATATTTATAACAAAAAGTACTCATACAAGTACTACTACAACAATAATGATTTCCAAACATCCACTCATCACATTCTCGCTTTCATATTTAGATGCAAATGTTTGAAACAATGCTCAACACTTTATACCAAGTGTTTTTGAACAATTTCAGTATTTAGACTATTTTATCTCTTAACTCAGCGACTGAAAGACTGGCAAACAAAAAAAAAAAAAACTCTGGCTCATTCATACACACATAATTTTTGACGACATGGCTGGCGAAAAATTCATTTAAACACTATTTACATATAGATAAAAATACATCTATATACAGATGGTGTAGAGACTGCTGATAATGATGAAGCAGACAACAGTGCTTTGTTGCAAGTGCAAAAAGTATATGTTCAACCATAATTGTTGGCTGCTTAAATAACCCTGGTTATGGTAGATTTTACACAGACCATCATGTATTAAGGCAAAAATGTAATTTGGGTAATTACTATGGACTAAGGTTTTCGTATTTTTAACTTTTTAAAATTTTTATTTTGTTGGAATATATGAATGAAGCCTTGTTATAAGCGAAAAACTTAAATGGTTTTGCAAATGATGAAACATGTTGCATTGATGTGGAATAATACTAAATGATAAATATTTTTTTAAATTTTATTAAATACAAAAATTTGTGAACAATAATTTCGTTTTTACGTATTTTAATTTATTTCGAACTAAAATTTAATACTCATACGCTAAGGGGGTTGCGTACAAATAAATCCATAGTCAAATAATAAATATTAATCATACGTACAGTTTAGAAAATATTTTAAACTATTTCTGTAAAATTTTCTTAGATTTGAAATAAAAACCATCAACCAACAAAACTACTAACATTTTCAAACCGTTTCCTTTTCCTCCACAAACTCCTCGTTCATTACTTAACACTGCTGGTTTTTTCAAGCAAATATTGACAAAAACCAAACAACAGGATTAAAAATTGTAAAAAATATAAAAAAAAACGTTGAAAGTTTAACAGTATAAATTTTGTAAACAACCACAACAACCGCCAGCTCTACATGTCGCCGGTTCAACACAATATAAATAAATAAAGTTGCAAATTTAAACATAAATACTCAACAGCGCGAATAAAACTACATACGTATGTATGTATATAAAATAACTTCAGGGAGTTACTGGGAAATAGATTTGGTTGAAAATATTCTTTAAAAGAGGCCAAAGTCAAACTGGAGATGATGAGTACGAAAATTCATAATGAAAATGTGTGGGGAATTTTCAAAGAATAAATACACACTTGATATTTATAAACTAGGGTGCTGAACTAGAACTGAACTAGAACTGAACTAGAACTGAACTAGAACTGAACTAGAACTGAACTAGAACTGAACGAACTGAACTAGAACTGAACTAGAACTGAACTAGAACTGAACTAGAACTGAACTAGAACTGAACTAGAACTGAACTAGAACTGAACTAGAACTGAACTAGAACTGAACTAGAACTGAACTAGAACTGAACTAGAACTGAACTAGAACTGAACTAGAACTGAACTAGAACTGAACTAGAACTGAACTAGAACTGAACTAGAACTGAACTAGAACTGAACTAGAACTGAACTAGAACTGAACTAGAACTGAACTAGAACTGAACTAGAACTGAACTAGAACTGAACTAGAACTGAACTAGAACTGAACTAGAACTGAACTAGAACTGAACTAGAACTGAACTAGAACTGAACTAGAACTGAACTAGAACTGAACTAGAACTGAACTAGAACTGAACTAGAACTGAACTAGAACTGAACTAGAACTGAACTAGAACTGAACTAGAACTGAACTAGAACTGAACTAGAACTGAACTAGAACTGAACTAGAACTGAACTAGAACTGAAGTAGAACTGAACTAGAACTGAACTAGAACTGAACTAGAACTGAACTAGAACTGAACTAGGACTGAACTAGAACTGAACTAGAACTGAACTAGAACTGAACTAGAACTGAACTAGAACTGAACTAGAACTGAACTAGAACTGAACTAGAACTGAACTAGAACTGAACTAGAACTGAACTAGAACTGAACTAGAACTGAACTAGAACTGAACTAGAACTGAACTAGAACTGAACTAGAACTGAACTAGAACTGAACTAGAACTGAACTAGAACTGAACTAGAACTGAACTAGAACTGAACTAGAACTGAACTAAACTGAACTAGAACTGAACTAGAACTGAACTAGAACTGAACTAGAACTGAACTAGAACTGAACTAGAACTGAACTAGAACTGAACTAGAACTGAACTAGAACTGAACTAGAACTGAACTAGAACTGAACTAGAACTGAACTAGAACTGAACTAGAACTGAACTAGAACTGAACTAGAACTGACTAGAACTGAACTAGAACTGAACTAGAACTGAACTAGAACTGAACTAGAACTGAACTA